GGTCGTTCCAGTCATCTCCATCCACATCTCCGTAGTCCTTTATGGAACTGACCTTCACAAAATCCAGGCTAGAGTGACCAGCAATAAATCTTCCCTCATGGAAGCAATCCAAACACAACATTGCATCAACCTGTCAGAGATACTGGTTAGAAACAAACGAGATGCAAAAGAAGTGATTCTATTAGTATTTTATCCTCCCAAAATATGCAATTTCACGTCTTACTGGAAGTCATCACCACTGACCGTCACATGAAAAATGTCGAATCAAGAAATCTAATGCTTTGCATTTCTCCACCAAACATTTAAATCCTTTTATAACATAACTAATAGACCTATTTCATTTTAGCTGAGTGATCGTTCACAAAGAGCTCAGGCAAAGTGATCTACAGATTCAAGTACTAGCTCATTAAACCTGAGGATGGGCTTAAATGAAGTAGTTTTTACATGTGCAATGCATCATTGATTAACATACAAATAATTGTTAGGCCTTGGGCATTATAGTATAGCCTGTGTCACTCATCCTAAGAAAACAACTTTATTGACTATAATGAGTGCATAATTAAGGGCGTAACTAAGTAAATAAATATACCAAATTGTTACTAACAATCAACCACGTCTGCATCTAATTTTCCACACATCTTGAGTAAGTATTCAAAATTTGACACAAGCATTATTGACTGTAAAACAAGACTACTTCATAAAAGCTCATGCAACAGAAACTCAACAAAATTAGAAGAGGCCATATAAATATCTGATAACATCTTTTTGTTCTGAAGTTCACAANTTCAGAAGCATACCAGAAAAATTTAGAATAGCATGCGGTTCAGTTCCGTTTCAACAAAGGCTGCGGGTATTCCTTAAAATATCCATTTATGAAAAACCAAATAAGGAAATTTGAGGCTGCTTCTAGCATTTTGAGCAATCAACTGAAATAACCTTAATAATTATGAAAACTGAGTCAAGCATTTTGAGGTAGCGCTTGTATTAATCTATGTCAATCATATAAGACCCAATAATCCTTTGATTCTTAAACTCTCAAATAGGTTATAAAATATATTTTTTGCTAGAACTAATAATGCCTATCATTCCCTAAAAAATTGGAAAATAATACATCAGGTACAAATTGGAGCTCAAGCTCAGCTTCAACGAGGACCCAAAAATTATTTGTATTCAGCAGCTCTTGAGCAATCTCATTTACCAATTGAACTGGAGTTCAATTTGTACGGTGCAAAGTTTTGCTTGATGCAGCCTTGAATTTATTATAGCCATAGTGTTAACACCATCAGCAACCCCATGCAAATTCTCATCTCTGATGCGAGGAGTTTAACAAGCTGTTCCATATGTTCACTATATAGAGTTTTTCAGCACCTTTTATGATCCCAATCCAAACACCTGCCCAATTCCAAGTAAAAGCTAACAGGGCATGACATAACACTTGAAGTCATACTTAAAATGAATGTGATTGGAAAACTACCTAACACGCCATTTTCAACTCACGCCTAAAATATTAATAATCTCCAACCAATTTGAGATGAAGAGAATAATGGGGAAACATTTTGAATAAATATGTAACCTTAGGGCTTCTGTCATCGATGCAACAGCTGGTGCTGGACATTCTCGTTCATGTATGGGTATATAAACAATAAGATACAGTGCTAAATAATGATCTACATATTCAAATTTGCGCAAATATCGTTGTTATAGAATGATGCACATAATAATTTTTTAAGAGATGAAGATGAGACATTCACAATAAAAAACAATAGCATCCAAGAAAAATAAGTGACACACAGAAAGGTTAAGAAACACTGTTGTTCAACCTTCAAAAGAATGCATTTACCTCTTTCTCCGACTGATAATGCACAGTGGGGATAGACCTGGAACAAAAATTGCATCGGTGCTCAGATAATTTCTCCCGGACGATGCTATCAAAGTCAGGGTCCTCATCTTGCTGACGAACAAGTTCAGTATAAACCTCCGTCGCCTTGAGCCTACATGTAGGCTTGTCAAACAGGATTAAGCTATCTATTGATTTCAAAGCAGCTGAAGGCACACAAAGTTCACCATTTGAATCTTCACATAAATATGTTCCATCTTTCTGTGGTTCATGATTAAGAGGAGTGGCACAATAGTTGATGATTCCCCAATGATTAAGAAACCGCACAATTCTAGTTAAATCATCAATATCGATTCCTGCTACTAGTCCCTCACAATCAGAAACTGAAAGGTACTTTTCTGGGCTCTCCATGTACTTCGCAACAATAAAATTTCGACACTCCATGTACTTTTCGGGTGTATGACCTACTGACTTCCCTGAGAAAAAATGTGGCACCACTTGTCTCTCCAATCTATGCACTGAATTTGGTGAAAACCAGTCTGCTCAAAACAAACAAAAACCAAATACAAACTAAATTAGGTAAACGCTCTCTCCCCCCACCCCCAAGGAAATTCAAGATTAATAATGATCCTACACACTGGATACAAAAGGAAACACACAAAAGATATTATAAGGATCAGAATCCCCCCCCCCCAACCCACCCAACCAAAAAAAGGCCAAAAGCAGTCAACCCATTTAAACAGAAAATTTTCCCTTCTTGATCATTAAAAAGTCAGATATATAATTTATTCTGTGCATATAAATCTTTGCGTGATTTATAAGTGATTAGAATAGCAATCTGCAACTGCACTCAAATAATACACGATAAACTTCCACAGAATAGGATGGAACATAATCCACCACTCAGTACAATATGAGATACCACAAGTCTCAGAGCATGCTTTGAGTGATTGGCTACAAAAGAGTGCTATCTACAACTATATTTAAATAATATGTGATCCATTAACTTCCACCGAAAAGGAATATAATCTACCATTCACTGTAAATGAGGTACAGAGAGGATAGGATTTCATATATTACCTCATTGTAATATTTGGTGTACCAAATAACAAAATGCATTTTTATTGACAAAGACAAGTGCTAGGAAATGCTGCATAGATGTTTATACCAAATACTTTTTTCAAGATTTCATATAGATTAAATATCATTTTAACATTGCAAAATCTGCATTGAACACTGAGTTGAGCAACTTTCTACAGCATATGCTAACGAAACAATTGTCTTGCAAGTCTCAATTAGCACACCTTTTTCACGTTATATTGTAACTTCCTACAATTAATAAAACAATAAACTAGCATATGTATTCACATAGCATCAACTCACTAATCTAACCATTTGACATTTTACAAAACCAACAACAGAAACATTGCATAAACTCCATATGCTGCATGCACATTTACATATATAGGGGAAAATGAGCAACCTGCATGGACTGGCACAACATGGACCCGACCTGCGCTTCCAAACCTTTTAGTAACACCGCAGCCAGAAACTATTTTAGGTGGCACTATCACATACGATCCTCTTCCACTGCCACTTGCAGTCTCCTCTGCAACAGCTCCTAATAAAGCTGGACTATCATGGGGCACAGCAGAGAGCGCCTGCAGCTGGCCATATGAAATGTTTTCCAATGAAGCTACCACTCCCTGCCCCTGGCTTCTGCCTGCTCCATTATGTGTTGCCCTCTCAGCTTCAACAATCCTCAAAACCAATGGGTGAGGCCTACTAACCACCCTCTTAATCGCAACGGGAAATTCACAAATTTTCACACCACCATCAACCAATTTTTCACTCTCTCTTTCTCGAGGTATAAGGGCCATACGATCTGCATTCTGGTGGGGAGGATTGTCATCAGTTTCTGGGTGCTTTTGAGGTGGGTCCATGTCAGGGTCATCATCATCTTCATTGTCCTCAAACATGTCATCATTCTCGGGTTCTTTGAGCTTGGATTTAAGTGTCGCTGGAGGGTCCCTTTTCCGCTTCCTCCACCTAGTCTTTGTCTCTTAACCATAAAAAGTTACAAAACCGCAACCATTTTCAATTTAATTTCAGAAATAGCACCAGAAACAAAAAAAAAAAAAAAAAAAAAAAAAGGAAAATTGAAAATCAAACACTCTGAGTAAATTCACGAATGGATCTCTCAAAATATATATTTTTTTTTCGTTACAAAAAAAAAAGAAAAAGAAAAAAGGTAAATTGTAAATCAAACACTCTGAGTTAAATTTCACGAATGGATCTCTCAATATATATGTTATTTTCGTTAAAACCAGTAACATTAAATATACTGTACCAAAATACCAAACCTTTTCGCCAAAATCAACAAGCGTGCCTGCAACTTTTACATAAAAAACACAGAAATCACCCAGTTTTGGCTTCATTTCCCAACAGGGCCCGTGTGCATGAAATTTATACCGAAAAAAATTGAAGAGGATCATAGTTCAAATTCACAAAAATGAGTCATCGGTTAAAACAAACACCACAATCAATCAGGGTTGAGCTTAGCTTTATAAATGGGCAAGTAAATCAAACAATAAAAAGGCTAAATGTTTATCAATCACAGCTTAATTGTGCAGAAGGGTATGTGTGCGCGACTACAGGGAAGAGTGAAATTAGGGGTTTAAGGAGTGTTACCTGAAGAAGAAGCTGGCATGCTGATTAAAATTGGGAGAGATTTTTGGAAGGCTTGGGGTTTAAGGAAGGAGAAATTTGTGGGGTCTCAATGAAATTGGCTAGTCCACTCAAGCTCCGTTGTATGTGCTAGGGAGGGAGAGAGAGAGAGAG